AATACAGAAACTCGTCCATCTACCGCTCAAACCTTTTGTTTGTGTGGTGCAGCCAATCAGAAGGAAGTCAGCTTAAAGGGAGAGATGCTTAAGCTGCTTAAAGCTACTGTAGTAGCCTCTGGGGATAATTATACAGAGCTGAAATAGAACAGAATGGGTTCCTTTAAAGAAAATAAAGTAGTTATTATGTATCAAAGTAATATCCACATGAACGCCTGGACCTAAGGTTTGCCTGCTTTCCTTGGGGACTGTGAATCAGTGTATATTAAGTATGCAGGAACATTAATTAGACACAAATTAAGTAACAAAGATGCTTTGCAACTCATTTGTGCTGTGTATTCAATATTTCAGAAGCAACTGGACCCAGTCTGGCAACATTTTATTCAGTACAGACAATAAATTCTTTCATACTGCAGGAACTGGGTCAACGCTGTTTCTTTTTTCCAACGAGGCATTCTTATTGCCGCTTAGACAGTCTTATCTTATCATTTAACGATAAGAGTACAGCCTGTTTTGATTTTACCAACCTAGAACTTGATCCAAAACCTGAAAACCAGTCCTGCTTGCTTGTGCATTTAAGTTATGTTAATGACCTTAATGCACTTAATAAGAACAGCACTACAAAGATAAATAAGCCTAAAAGAAAAGTGGTGCTGTTGGCGGATGGTTGAATGAAGCTGAACTGCTTTTAACCTCTGTCTGACCTGCATGCTCTGCAGCACGTTCAGGAAGTCGTTCATGCCCGTCAGGTGCTGCACGTCCTGGAAGATGGCCACGAGCAGGGTGGGCGTGATGGCAAGCGTGCGGGTCAGCAACACCCGAGCGAAACGTGACCAGCGCAAGTTTAAGAAGCCCTGAGGGAAGGAGAACAAATCAGTCGGTGACATTTACAAGAAAACGGGGCTTGTTTACAAAAGATTTAGTGAAGCAAACCGACTGCAGCTGTACGTGATTATAAGTAAATAAGTAAATTACACGCAGGAGCTTTTGAACAGGCCAAATAAAGGGCTCAAGTGAAGAAAGAATGGGAGGACATATCTGCGTTAAAGGGAAAGAGCTAGCGCTGACATTTCCACTGTTTGAGCTTTGCATGTGGTTTTTGTTCACATCTGGTTCTTCCTTTCTCACTGACCTCCATGACAAACTGGCCGGAGTATGTTCCAGTCATGGTGGAGCTCTGACCAGCTGCAAGGATCCCCACGGCCCATATGTAGAGAGCAGCTGGGCCAAAGAAACAGCCGAGCACCACTCCCTGTTACAGACACGCAAACACAGATGACAGTGGATAAAAAACAGAAAACACGCTCTGCAAAACCAGCGCAGGCCCACTTTGCTGCCACTAAAACCAGAGAGGGCGTTAAGAATAAATGCATGTTAATGTCATTGTCACCGTTTCCTGCAGGGCTTGAATCCACATGATCTCAGAAATATTATATAAAACACAATCCTGTCATTATGTGCTGCAAATTTGACCTGTTTGTGTGCTTTTAAGTTTTACTGAATAAACTACACGAAGGCTACAAACACCCCGAGTTCTGCAGGGGCGTCAAACACACCACTTTTTTTTAAATAGTGAAAAAAAACCAACAATTTCTGTGAATTCACGGATAACTTCTGCTTTTAATTACAGCGTAGGAATCCTTTATTCCCTACAGTGTAGCCCAATGAGCTGTACTGATGGGTGTCTTTGATTTATTACAGCAATATTTCATTTCACAGTGTGGAAAACGACATAATATATGGCAATAGAATGTGATGGACCGACCTTAGCTGGATAATCAGCAAATAAAACGAGTGATTGGTTGGATAGATAATCTGTTGTAGCAACACATGCCTGAATGAGCCTTTAAATTTAAAAATAAGAAACGACTCCGAGCTTTTCTATTTGTTTTCTGGGCCGTAGCTGGAGATCAGTGATGATCCCCAGCAAGCGCTCTGAGTCAATTTGACACAGAAGCTGATGAAAGCTCTTTGTGCAATTTAAAGTTCTGTGGTGAAATCACACATGCATATGCAAGTATAAGTATGTTCAGACCAAACGTGTCCACACAGTTTCTGAAAAAAGCCACAAATATTTTCCCTTAAGTTCGTTCACTCCTTTTCTTGTAATTCCACTACATACGGTCACTTCATTAGGTACAGTTCGACTGCTTATTAAGGCAAAGCTCTAACGAGTTAATTAAATGTTAGCAAATCAATACATTCAGGAACGGTAAAGACAACTAGCTGCTAAATATGTTGTGATATAAATAATTAACAACCATCTCTAGTGTTTACAGAAAGTGGCCTGAAAAAGAGAAAAATATCTAGGAAGCAGCTGTTCTCGGGGGAAAAATCCTTGCTAAAGCAACTCAAGTTACAACCAAAGCATGCAGAAGAGCATCTCTGAATGCAAAAGACCACACCAGTGCCACTCCTGTCTGCTAGGAGCAGGCAACAGGCTCCGATACACAGAGGCTCAGCAAAACTGGGCAATAGGAGAAAAGTTTTCTTTATTTCTGCTGCAACATTCGGATGGCAGATGTCAATCGAATAGATGCGGTTAAACGGACGATTTGCATCAACTGTGTAACACCATCATGTGAATATGGGCCAAAATCTTAAAGTGCGTTCCCAGCAGCTTTTTAAATTGATGCCAGCTCTGAAGGAAAAAACAAAGTTCTCATTTTGTGTGGATCAAAGCTTGCAGACACGTGTTTGCCTCCAAATGTGTCGCCTGGTCTGAATTTGCATCAATTCACATCTTTGCACAGACTTAGTTTTTAGCTGTTGTTCATCACTGATCTCAACGGGAGCATAAAAAATAGCATTTCAGAGATGCACAAGGAGATGACCTTAAAAATCTTTAAATTAGGTCAAGTTTTGGTATACAGTGGTCCTTCGCTATAACGCGGTTCACCTTTCGTGGTCTCACTGTTTTGCAGATCTTTTTTGTGCAATTTTGCATGCTTTTTTTTTTTTAAAACAGCACATTGTGTTCTGTATTCTGATTGGCTGTAGACCAGGGGTGGGCAATTCCAGGCCTCGAGGGCCGGTGTCCTGCAGGTTTTAGATCTCACCTTGGGTCAACACACCTGAATCACATGATTAGTTCGTTACCAGGCCTCTGGAGAACTTCAGGACATGTTGAGGAGCTAATTTAGCCATTTAAATCAGCTGTGTTGGTTCAAGGACACATCTAAAACCTGCAGGGACACCGGCCCTCGTGGCCTGGAGTTTCCCACCCCTGCTGTAGACCATTTCCTTCTGGATTAATAAAGTATTTCTGATTCTGATTGTCATTCAATCTTGTGCCGTGTCTCCTGTACAGTACAGAACGCGTTCACCTTGTCAAATTTACCTAAATCTTCGATCGCTACCAATGTGACTCTGAAGTGAGGTACTGTATGTTTGTAAGTTTTCTCCAACAAACAAAAATTTCGATGAAATGTTTTGCACCATCAAAGGCAACCGCGGGTGACTTGTTTCATTCTATAATACTGGACTTATTTTTCTACGAAGGTTTGAACTTTTAGAGTGTTTAAACCAGAGAAAAGTGTGGAAA